ATGCATGCCGCAGAACCAGTGTTTGGTTCTCTTTGTTAATCTGCTTTTGCTGAACTATTTTGGGGGTGGGGGTAACAGCATGAGTCTACACTGAGATCCTAATATGCGCCAGGCATGTGAGATTCATGTGTTATATATGTATAGAAACTAGTTTAAACCTCTTCTAGGGAGTGTAGTTATAAATGAATGTGAAGCAATGAACAAATTAAATTCAATCTGGAAAAACTGTTGCCCATCTAGCTGGGTTTTATAATGACAGGAATAGGAAAGAAAAGAGGAGGTATGTTTATTGCAGTGTTATTTATAATCACCAAGATCTGGAAGCAGCCCAGGTGTTCATCAGTAGATGAGTAGATAAAAAAGCTGTGGTACATTTCTAAATGAAATACTACTTGGCTGTAAAGAAAAAAAAAGGAAGGAAATCTTACCTTTGCAATAGCATGGATGGACCTATTATGCTAAGTGAAATAAGCCAGTCAGAGAAAGACAGGTACCATACGATTTCACTTATATGTGGAATCTAATGAACAAAATAAGCTAACAAAAAAATAGAAACAGACTCATAGAGACAGAGAACAGACTGACAGCTGTCAGAGGGGAGGAATTTGGAGGCTGGGTGTAAAAGGTGGAGGGGTTAAGCAAAAAGAGAAAAAAAGAAGGAAATATTTTTTCTGAACACCAATTGTATGCCAGGCAGTTTTAGGTGCTTTACTAACAGCATTTCATTTAGTCCCTTCTTCATAGCATCCCTATAAGGATGGTATGATTAGTCCATCTCGCAGATGAGAAAGTTTGGTGAAAAGGTCGTTGTTATCTAACGGCCATTTGGGATTCAAACTCAGGAGTGTCCTACTTCAACTGAATCATAGAACTGTGGCAAACTGACCAACATTCTTTTCTTGCTTAGCCATCATTTTGGAGGCTTGTTAATCCTTGCCATTCTCTATGAATGGTGTCAGGATTTCAACTCAGGAGCACCTGACTCTAATATCTCTGTCCTTTTCAGGACACTGCACCATTATATTACTCAGAAAATTATTATTCCTTCTGTTCTTCAGCAGCAGTCAAGATAAAAACCACAGAGTGTAAACCAAAGTACACCCCTCTTCCCCGAGAGGTTTTCATTGCAATTTCTAGTCATAATGTGTGCTCCTGCTGCCACCTGCTGGCAGCCCCACACACCCTGATGTTCCTTGCAAACCCCTCTATACAATGGAGGAGCCACTTGGCTCTAATAATAATAACAACAACAACAACAACAACAACAACAAGAAACTCAATGCATACAACCAGTTGGTAAATGCTCCCAGAATCTGGTAAATTCCTAAGGAAGGAATAATTCCCATACATTTTTCTTGGGGATAAATCCTTTCTCTTTCAAAGCCACACATTTTTCATCAGATTTCATCTGTCTCTAGTTATTGAAAGAAAGAACAAATTCTGTTATCCAGACCATCTAAATTTGAATGGCGGTCTCTTGCTAAGTGGGGGTATTCCACGCCCCCAGCAAATAACACTGACCACTGTGCTGACAACCAACAAACTGGTAGGTAGCAGGCCCTGATTAAGAAAAATCTAAGTGGCCGGCTGGGCTGCAGCTGGCCTCCTGACAGAAAGTGGGGCCCAGGGCAATCCAGATTCAGCATGTCCTGGTCCTTTACTCCAGGCAGCCAGGACCAGCAGGGGGGTCCATTCCCTCGGACAAGGGCGTCCATCTGTAATGTGCGCACACACACACACACACACACACACACACACACACATTCTACAGAATGTAATGACTTGTCTTCTGCGGTGGGTTCTTCAATTTTTGTTTTTCTTGGTTTCCCCTTTCTTGACAAAATGGGGAGGGAAACCCTTCCCTGGGGTGAGGAAGCTTATTTCTGACCGTTGGGGAAAAAAAAAAAGAAAGCAGGAATTGTTGTCACGACAATTAGGAGCTCATCAAAGCCTCATTTTGCTCATCAGCCATCAGTGCCCTCCGCCCTGCACCCTGGCATGTTCCTCTGATTCAGTGCTGGCCTAATGAGTAACTCCAGGAACAAAAGACCCTTTCAGGCTGGCGCACATAATTATTAGAGGAGACTTGCACAACTGTCACAGACTACTCATGTTTTCAGGCCTGTCTCTAAATTCGGTTATTCACAACCTTTACAGCTCAATATTATTGCCTAACTGTGATCATTTTCTAATTATCCTAATAATGCCTATTAAATAATTCCCATTAAATTACTTGAACCAGAGCAGCACAGGCCAGCTCAAATATAACTTAACCTAATAAGCACTGGTCATTCATTAAGCACCAGGGCAATCTCTTAAAGGGGCTGAATAGAATATTAAACTGGAAAGGAATATTACTGTTGCACAAATGTTATTACAAGTTAGAGTGTATTAATTTTGGTGCCTGGTTTGCAAATCTCCCATATGGTTCCCTTTGGGGCTGTTCTCTGTGACCTGACTCTCGGAGTCTTTCACCCCTGGCTGATTTGCAGCCGTCACCCACATGGGGACAATCCAGGAGAAAAAGGGGAATTCAGTTACTAAGGACAGGATGAGAATGAATGGAACCCATCTTCTGGCCAGGTCAGCACAGCTCCGAAGATACCACAAGCTGCTGGGTTTCTTTAGCTCATAACTCAAAATAGCCTTCCTTTACATTTGGGGTGAGGGAGAATTTCAGAAGTGTTAAAAATTTGGTTTCTAGAATTTAAACCTCAAGTACTGAAGATGAGAGAGACAATTCTTTAAAAGTGTATGTATGGGGATATTAATATTTTGAAAAATAATACCAGATAGCATTTATCACCTATACTCTGGGAGACACTTTGCCCACCACTACCCTTAATTCTCACAATGACCTGGTACTGTGGAGGCTATCCATTGTCAGGGATAGGAATATGGGACCAGAGAAGTTGGGTGATTTCCTAGGACCAACACAGCCTAAATGCAATGGAACAGAATTTGAACCCAGTGCTCTTTGATGCCTGTAACTCTACTTACCTTACTACTTCACACTTCCTCCCCAGCAAACTGAAACATGCCCTGGCTTTGTTGGTGTGTCCTTGTTATTTCTAAGGCCCTCCCTGGAATCAGTGGATTCCTAAGGAAAAGTGCCAGAGCTTCCTTGATTGGGAATGTGACCAAATGTCAAACAAGGGCAGGTGACTGTACCAAAGCTCCCCAGAGCAGCTGCAAAGACAGGCAGCGACTCTCACACCCAGCGGCCAGAAATAGGTATCACTTGTGTAATGAATCCTACTTCTGATGAGTAGACTTGGGTTTTCTTTGCAAGAAAATGCACAGTATATTTCAGTAAGAAAAGGAACGAGCATGTATTAGTCATCTATCCCATCCATCCCACAGTCAAGGCACCATGCTAGAGCTTCCACAGAAATTGCTTTAGCTGATCCTCACCACAAATCCCAGAAACAGATGTGATTATCGCTCTTGCTTTACAAACACAGAAACTAAGGCACAGAGGGATCAAGTCAGACTCCACTGTTTCCCTGTTCTCCAGAAGCCAATTAACCACACAGCTAGCAAATCCAAACCCACAGGGCCCTCACGTGGATGGACGCTTGCAAGGCTCTGGGCGCAGCCCACACGATTTTGCAGGCACAACGTTGTAGGCGCTTCGGGGCTCACAAAACCGGGGTCTGCCCCTGCTAGTATCATCACTCTCAAATAACTGCACTTTTAAGAGAAGTGAAATGCTAACCTTGCACTCTGTTGTTTAACAAGTAACACATTTTCATGGCTGCACAGAGAGAAATGTGTTTTCAGTGTTCAGTTTTTCACAATTTATATTCAAAACAAAGGGTTAAAGGCATCATGTCACAAAGCTAAGGAGACAGTACTTTCCACAAACTCTAAGGACCCCATCCAATCCACTAGCCACCCAGATGCCAGGTGGTTTCCCAAAAGGGTAGGTTTCTCAAAACGGTAGGTTTCTGGAAGTCATCCCTCCCCTCATAACCCTTCGCCAGCTCCTTGTTTGTTAAGGAGCTTCACATTTTTTTCACGTATGGCCTTTGCAGGGGCTGCTCCCTCTGCCAGAACAATCTCCTCACCTCCCCGTTAACCCCTGTTCCTCTTCTGGTTCTCATCTTAATAGGTCACCCCTTCCAGGAAGCCCTGCCTGACTGCCTCTCTCCCAGATCAATTAGGAAACCCTTGATTCTGCTCCTGTGCACCCTACAGCTGGTTCCCATCCCAGCACTGGTCCTCCTGCATGGAGGTTCATTTCTCCACATGTCTGGGTCCTTCAGTGGCTATGGAGTTCTCAAAGGCAGAAACTGTCATCTTCATCACTATAGACCCACTGTTTTCATATCCAACACATAGTAGGTCTTCACCAGATGAATTCTGTTTGGATCTGAGAATCTGAAAGCTATCAGTAGAATAGCTTCATTGAGTGCTTTACCTGTGCCAGGCAATGTGCTAATTTATATATGTGTGTATATATGTTATTTATATGTGCATGTGTATATAGATGTATAGATGTATACATACGTATCTAAATGTACACACACACACATAGAAATAATTTCTTCTTCAATTCTTACATCATCACTATTACCTCCATTTAAAGAAGAATACAAAGTTCATAAAGATGAGAAAGATGACTGGCCCCATGTCGCACAGTGTCTAAAGGGCGAGACCAGGATTTCTACTTGAAGTCCGGGCTTTGAGTCACTACCAACATCGCTTGAAGGCTCAAATGTTTCTCCCGAATTTATCCTGAGCCCTGAATGGTGAAGAACATGCACACAGCAGACCCCTGGCGGACTGGACAGCCAGTGGCCTGGCCCATAGGTCTACCCAAGCCCCTCAGACTTTCAGATGGGGCCGCCAGGCTGACTGTGAAGGTGCGAAGCGGTTGTGGATTTCACGCTGTATGTTGACATTGACAGAGGGTGACAAAGTCTCACTGTTTGGCCAGATGGGCTAGACCAGCTCTGTTCTCAGACCGCAGCCTCAGGATCCCTTGGGAAGCCTACCTGCTTCTCCTCGGAGTGCCTTCTCCAGCCTCACGCCCTGGATCTCAGAGGCCCTCTGCCGCTCCTCCACCTCCTCCAGCTGCCTCTGGATGGCCTGCAACGCCAGGGTCTTAGGTCACGTGGGGACTCCCGGTGTGCGGAGTCACACACTTCCCAAGAGGAAGAGGCCCTTTCTTATGGGATGTCACCTCCTTGACAAAAGGGGCCAGGACCGCTGAGTTCCCAAACAACTGTACCCGGATGTCTCCCTTCTTTAGCATGAAGACATAAAGCAAGGGGTCTGTGTGTCAGCTCAGTTTGCCCCCAAGTAGAAGGTGAAACGGTCCACTTTGACTAGGCCAGTCACACAGACGCACTCTCAGGCGGAGGCTGCCGGGCCAGGCTGGCGGAGACTCAGCCCTGACTCTGGTCTTGGCAGAAGCACAGGAGCTGCAGCCATGACTCAGAGCAGGACAGGGGCTCCAGGGGCAGACACAGAGCATGCTCACATTCTGTTTTCCCAAGAAAACCCAGCAGATCCCTCCGGCGAAGCTGGTCTGGAGCAGGGGCCCTCGGCCAGCTCCCGGGGCAGGGTGTCCTTTCTCCGTGGGTCTGGCTCCCATCCTGAGCTACAGATTGTGCCTATTCCTTCACTGCGCCACTGGGCTGGAGCTCAGGGTCTTTCACTGTGGCTGTGTATGGTAGCATTGCTACTGGTAGGTTATTAAGACACAAGATGTTTATCCCATTAGGGACAACTTCACACCCTCCTTGAACTGACCATTGGCACTTATTAAAGTTTGGGGTCATGAGTGGATTTGTATTTGCATTTTTATTTTCCCTACTAGCTCTTTCTCTCTTGTGTATATTGGGAAGGAAAATTAGGGGAAAGCCTTTCCTATGTGCATTCTATTCACCCCATCAGTTTTCTCTGTTTTCAGACACCATGCTGCCAAAAGGCATATCTCTGGGCAGAGCAGACTTTGCACCTGGCAGACCAGGTAAATTTAAGGAACAGGCAGCTGTTGGGGCAGGTAGAATGCGTGTGTTCTTTCCCCTCTGCATACTCCGACTTTGTCTCTCTCCCCTTCCTCCTTAACTCCACACCTTTCTCCATCTCCCCTGGATGCAGGGGTACAGTTGCCAAAGCACCTCCAACCCGGTGAAGAGGCCGGAGCAGGAGGGGCCTGAGCTGCCACCTGGTTCCTCTTGTGCCAACTAAATGTGTTTAAGCCCCAAACATACAATCTGAAATAGATGGGAATTACAACTTGTACTTTCATGCCCCCTTCCTCTCTGTCTCTCTTTTAAAGATAATTATATCTTTATAAATCGGTCTCTTGCTGGCATGGTGTAGAATTGCAAAAGGGAAGAAAACATTTAAATAACTTCATTACTGATTACTTGGTAATTTTGGCTATGTGGTTGTTACGGGAGTTAGTAGAGCCTCCTCCCACACCTGCCCGCCCCCATTCATATGTTGAAGCCCTAACTCCCAAAGGGACTGTATTTGGAGACTGGGACTTTAAAGGAAGTAAATAAGGCTATGAGGGTGGGACCCTAACCTGACAGGACTGATGGCCTTATAAGAAGAGGAAGAGATACCAGAGAGTGAACTCTATTTCTCTGAGTCTACACAGAAAGAAAGGGCCACAAGAGGACATAGGAAAGTAGCTCTCTACAAGCCAGGAAGAGTCCTCACCAGAAACCCACCCTGAGGGCATCTTAATCTCTAACTTCCAGCTCCAGAACTGTGAGAGAATACATTTCTGTTATTTGAGCCATCCACTCTGTGGTATGTTGTTATGGCAGCCCAGGCTGGCTACTCTAGTGGTCATTCTTTAGAAACTAAGGATGAAAGTCTCCAAGACTAAAAAGGAATGCAAATCAAGACTCAAAAGGCCATTGTAATTCTTCTCTTACTGCCACCTATTGTCTGGAGTGAAAATAGAAGGAGGGGCAATTGCTGAGCTGGCCAATCCACAGCATAAAGACTTATCTTGTTCTCAGGAGGGGAAGTTGAAATGTTTCAGAGAAACCTATTTTAGAATTTGAGAGAGGGCAGAGGACCTTGATGGGAATTTTCCCTGTCTGCTCAGTGAAAGGGGCAGCTCCCAAGTTAGTCACTCTGAAAGGTAAAGGAGGATGAATTAAATTTACCTCCTTCTTCTCAGAAACAACTTACAGGACCACATGGCCAGACCAAGGGAATAACTGGAGAAAGGAAGGTAAGGGCACATTGGATTAGAATGAGTGGTCATTCAAGTCCTTTTGTTCTAAAACCTAACTGTTCTTCAAGGCTAGCTTTGGGTCCTCAGGGAGAGGGGGAATGCCTTGCCTTTCTGCTTCCTTTGCTCGTCTGTGGCAGAGGTGGGCAGATCAAGCTGGACAGAAATGTTTGGACTAGGCCGGGAAATCTATATCAGAATGCTGGGTGCTTATGCTGTCAACTAATCTGGAAACAGAAGCAGCCCCTAATAGTTGTCAGTTCAGCAGAGACACTGGCAGGAAGTTGAGGGAAGGTCACACCCTCACAGAGGACACAGCAAAGGCTACTGCCATATGGCTGTCAAGGCCTGGGATGTTCCCAAGGCCATGTGTTGGCGGTCATTTCAGGCTCATTTTGCTGGAAACATGCCTGCAGGTGGAAAGGTGGTGAGAAGCCAGATCAACACCTGGGCTCTCCAAGCCTCCAGAGTGCCACCAGGGACTGAGCCAGCACCTTTAGCATAGCCACAAACCTGGTTGCTCAGAGAGGAACTGCCTTTCTCCAGCCCACCTCCCCGATGCAATACAGACTCCCAAAAGGCTGTCAGGTCCAGATTGCCAGGGTTCCAGACCCACTCAATCACACCCAGTTTATTTTCTGACCTGAGCTTTATGAAGTCTTTTCAGTTCTTCTTGCTTAACCAATTGTTGTGTTGCTTTTTCCAGCTTCCTTCTTCTTCTAAGCATCTTCCTCTCCTATAAAAGCCAACAGAGAAGAAAACAATATGTTGGAGAAATGGGGTTGAAACTTACAAAATACCCACGTGGGCTTCTGCCCTCTGCAACCAAACTGCTGCTTAGCTTCTAGAACAATGAAGGTCCAATGGAACCTTCTGCAATCATGGGAATGTTCTGTATCTGTGATTCTCTAAAATACGGAAGCCTCCAGCCAGGTGGGCACTGGAAATGAGGCTAGTGTGATTTAGAAATTGAATTTTAAATTTATTTCATTTTAATGAGTTTAATAGCCACATGTAGCTAGTAGGTGCTAGATTGAGAGACTGGTGTGTGTGGTTATGTTGGGGTGTGTGTGTGTGTAGGTATGTAGTTGGGAGTGGCTTTACAGAGCACTCACTTGGTTCAGTGGAGGGTAGGAATAATGCAGGAATTATACTCTCTGTGGGGGCTACCGTAAAGCCCAAAGATGATGAGCCTAAAACACACACACACATAAGTACGCCACTTGAAAACAAGTCCTTTAAACAGTCCTTAGGTTCATTCTACATTGCCTAATCAAACCTGATGGTGCAAGAGCATATCTAAGTCAGACAAAAAGTTTTCTTGGCTGGAGAGAGGCCTCAGATTGCTTCTCCTCCCTACTTCACTCTGCTGTACAAATGCATCATTCATGTCACTGGGTTCTCTGTGTGCCTGGGCTTGTAAAATACAGAACATTCAAAACTGATGCATTCAAAAGAGGTGTCTGGATCTTGATGGTGTCATTTCCGGGTTTTAGACACCAGAGAAAGGGGGAGGAGTGTCACGGCCTGCTCCACATAACGCAAAGTTCAAGAGACACTTCTGACTGGAGAAAGCGCAGAGGGTAATGGTTGAGCACAGAGGCCGGGAGCCTGCAGAGCTGGCACCAATTCCCAGCCGAGCTGCATGCACTTCAGTGCATTGCATAGTTTCTGAACTTCCGTGTCCTTTTCAGAGTGATGAGAATGACTTCATGCTGACTTCGTAGGGAGGTAATAAGGATTAAATGAGATAAGGTGGGTCAAGCTCTTTGCAGAATAATTGAAAAAGATATAGGACAGAAATTCAGTACATACTATGATTTTTATTATCAGCATTATTATAAATTAGCATTATTATAATTCTTTACTAAAATCTATTATTTTTCATCTACTATATATGTAAATGTATGTAGGAGTATATGAATTATACACACACACACACACACACACACATCCTGTATTCACAAAGAAAGTGTTCAAATTGAGCCAGTTTTACTATTAGTTTGCCTTCTCTGAGCATACACATCAAGTTTTTTATAGCAGCATGAGGATTAGAGTGTGCTAGAGATTCCTCTTTAGTACTGGCAGAAACAAACAAGGAATGAAAAAAATTGTTACAGCGAGACTGGAGCCTGGGTATTCAATAACCATGGCTGAACTGAAAGTTTGCCCATTAAAAGGACCGTATGTCCACAGCTGGGGAGTAGGCCTACCAGGCCTGACCCCAGATACTGCCAGAGGAATCCGGGCCCATAACAGGGGTTATAGATTGAGCCTCAAAAGCCTCAACCTTTCCAGGGTCTCATAGACCCTTTTCATTTTGACACCCATTCCGTGGAGAGACCACCACACTCCTTAGAAAGCATCCAGCTTTCAGGGTTCCAAATGTCTATAGATCATTGGTGAAAGTATTTATCTCAATGATGAAACTTGGTTTTTATAGGATTCCCTTGAGGATCTAGAGTCCTAAAGGTCTCATGCTCCCCTTCATTCTTGGAAAAAAATATTGGCTCTCAGAACTCTAATTTATTCCTTATCACATCATTTTTATTTCTGGGGAATGACTTCCCAATTGACTGTCAATCACTCTGAACAGAGGTTCCTGGCCATTGGAGTCGGGGAACCCCACTATTAGGCAGCCAGATCTTTCTGGAAAGGCTGGGGAGGAGCATGGTGGAGATCATTGGTAATTGTTAACCAGAGACTGTCTAACTCAGTCTGTGAAGAGTCAGTTCATTTATTTAACAACTATCTCTTGAGCTCACAATCCCCTAACCTTCATAATAAATCCCAGCATTTATTGGGTGTTATGTGCCAGACACTGTGCTGATTACTTCCCATGTATCATCTTGACTATTCCTCAAATTAGACTTATTTTACAGATAAGGAAATCAAAACCCAGAGAAGTTAAATTAACTTGCCCAACAGGACACACGCTTAGTCATTAGCAGAGCCAGGAGGTAAGCCTGGGTAAGCTGAATCCTGCATCCACATTTTCATCTAGTCTGTTTCGCCTTTCCTGCGCCAAATACTGTGTAAGCACAAAGAGGACTCTTGCCTTATAGAAACAGCAAAGTTTCCCCCTGAATTAGGAGCATTTAATACAATTTCAAGGGAAGATGCTTCAACAGCACTTACCAGCAGCAAAGCTGCTACCTTGCAATGGCCTTATCAAGAACTGGCAAAACAGAACTTACAGGAAGAAAGAAAATCCTTTATTGCTTTTTATTAAAGGACATTGGTATGGAAATGAAGGATGATTTATTAATGCTCAGATGGCCTCACGAGGTGCCAGGCATGGTTCTTATGTCCTCAATGATGGTGATGGCGATACAGAGAGGAAAAGAAAGAGACTAAGGGATAAGGAAGAAAAAGACAAAGGACAGAGAAAGAATACTGGTAGGATGAGGACAAGCTGCTCGTCCCAGTCTCAGACCCAGAGCCAGTTTGGGAGCAGACCTGGTGGGGAGGGGCAAAGCAAAAGGAAGACATGGAGTATGCATATCCTGTCTCCAGTTTCCTATGCAAAGGTTCACTTGAGCTGACATGGGCTCTGTGACCCACATCTGGGGACACACCTGTATGGGACAGAAGAGATAAGGAAGCCAGAGTGGGTAAACTCCCCTTGTTCCCTCACTGTGAGCCCATGGGGAGTCCTTGGCCAGTTTTCCTTCCCGTGAGAGTGGTCACATCAGCAGCCAGGTGAAGCAAGCAGGCTTTACCTCACTGGGAGGTAAGCAAGGACCAGCTCTGTCCTGGCACAGCAGGAGGACAAAGAGCTACTTGCAAAGCATGCCTTAGGTATCATGGCTTTACAATTTGGATGTGTTTGGGCCACGCCATTCTTTTATTCTCCTTAAGTGTCAGGATGGCTGATGCTCATTTGAATACAGAAGTAACTCAGGGTCACTCAGAAAGATGAGAGGGACAGTAAGGAAACCCTATAAGTCAACACACATAGAATTCATTTGTGTTAAGTAATGAACTAATCAGCAATACCCACAGTTGCACAATTAGGACTCTAGACATAGTGTCTCATTCTTATTCTTTCTCTCACTCACACACACACATACACACACACACATACACACACACACACTCAAGCCGTCTCCCAGCCCCCTCCTGACTTGCTCCAGGCTGGGCCTTGGGGAGCTGGAACCCCTGAGTGACTTGAAAAGACGCCAAAGCTCCTAGTGCCAGATATGGAAAAGTTGAGTCTAAGTAAATAAATCTGGTTCTCTCCCTTTCTCCTCTGATCCTCACTGCTCCAAAAAATAAACACAGCCAGGGCAGTGAACTGCATCTCTGTCCACCCGGGAAGCATTTTAGGTCCATCCGTTCAGCCTGCTGCCCCAGTGAAACCACCCCAGTGAAACCGCCCCAGCCCCAGTGGACAAAGAAAAAAAACAATGGTGGGCTTATGTCATGGGATGCATGTCTCTGTGTTTGTGAAATACAGCTGCATTTAAAGACATACAACACTGCTTGTGCTTTTCAGTGGACGTGGGAGTTATTTAAAGTGGTCTCCAGAAATATTAACCTTCATGAAGCAAGGAGTGGGGACTGCCGTCTCCCCAGCCGGTACATGTCTAGCCCCTTCCACGGTGGGGACCCTCGGAGTCTCCATACCTCCGTGCAACTGCGAGGTTCATTTCATAGTTCTAATTAGAATAAACATAGCACGTTGCATCCGATCTGTCTTGAGTGCTTCTTAAACGAAGCTGTGCTTCCCCCAGGGAAATAGGCATCTGCGTGTTGTAATTTTTTCAATAGTTTGCTTGTTGGACCACAAATGAAACCCACTTTTAAGAGCTGCAGTCACCAAATGGTTTCAAGTAGACATGTCAGTGTTTTTTTTCTTCCCTCCCCTATTTTACATCTCTGAGAGAGGCAAGCTTATAAAAGTTAACAACAACAACAAAAAAGAGATAATTCTTGGGGTATTCCAGGTAAAAAGAGCAGTTGCTGTCAGATGCAATGACACGTGATCCTCCGAACGAAACCACCGCAGCTGGAGCCCACATTGGGTCTCAAGTCTGGAGGGTAAACAGCCCTGCAAGCCAAGGCCCCCTTTGGTTTGCCAAATGTTTTTTACCTTTGACTGCGAGGAAAGCTGGGGATCAAATTCTTCATCTTCAGAAGAGGAGGAGGTGGAGGAGGCAGCCCCCGTCACCTGCGCCCTGCTGGGGATGTGCTTGGGACCTGAAAGGGGAACAAACAGAAGAACTAACTGAACTCTAGCTTCTTTTCTTACTTAGTGACCCAAAGCCGCCTCTCCCCTCTCCCCTCCACCCCCTCCTCTCCCCCCTGCCCTCCTCTCACTGCACCTGCCAGGAGCATGCGGAGGCAGTACCTAAGGGCAACTGAAAATTTGGCCCTCCACATTAATTACACTTCTGGGTCCCTGCCAAGAGCTTTGCAGCTCTCTCTTCACCTTAAAAAATAAAGGTATTATGCAGAAATCAATTAATTCCTTAAACACCATTTATATGGTATGTTGCTTGAATGCATTCAGAGATGAAATCTATTATTAAAATGCTTGTCTGAAGTTAGCTGAGTTACCTAAATGCTTGTGTAAGGTTTGTTCTGCAGAGTAATTGAATGCAAAAAAAAAAAGTCAGAGCCAGCTCTTAAACAAATCGCCCTTCTGCGGCTCACAGCATCTGGTACCCATTTTTACTACATGACATCTGCTCAGTGTAAAAGAGCTGGCGTCAGAATGTCTGGTCATAGAAAAAAAAATCCCAAATGTAATCAGAAGCAAAAGGACTCTAAGCCTAAGGTTTTATCACATAGTCTCATGCAACATAAATATTTCATTAATTATGGCTAAACAAATGCCACTTTTATTTTCCCAACTTGCAGATATTATCACATCATCGAAGTGACGATTCAAATGCCAGGAAAGGCAGTTCAAGATAGGGAGGGCTCAGCAACGCAGGGCCCATGGGAGGGCCAGAGTCGAGGGGACGTGCCAGCCTCCAGCCAAGAGGGAGGCGGTGAGAGGCAGCAAAGAGCCCGTGCTCACTAGCATCTCTTTGCGATCTGGCTGGGGACCGCGTGTGGGAAAGTCTTCCAGGTGCCACAGGAGGCTTTTATTCTTCTCAGCGAGAACATCTGCCCCTACACATCAACCTGATGCAGAGTTAATGATTACTATCTGGATTCACGCACTCTGGACACTGCGTATCAGAAGCAGCCAGGACTCCATGACAGGAAATGCACTGAGTTTTACTCTGCCGTGGCAGCTTATATCTGAGTAGAAATATGTGCTGGGCGGGAAGGAAGGTGGAGAAGCAGGTCCAAGCCAACTAACATTCCCGCCCGTCTGCCTTTTCCTCTCCATAATTTTCAACTATTTACCCCATGGGAGAGGCCAAGTTTATAAAAATAAAAATAATTTCAACCTCTAGGAGCATATTTACATATGCTGTTATTTGAGTCAAAATAATGCAAAAACATCTATATAATAACACAGCCTCTCTGGGGAGGGAGCTGACTGTTTTTCCACTTTAATTTGCCAGATGGGAAAGCTCAGGTGTGGAGGGACTCAGGGAGCAGTGTAACAATGGAAGGAGGCCTTGCTCCCAGGGAGCTGAGATTGTTCCCTAGTTGCAGCAGCAAATTACCACCACCCAGTAATTTAGTCTGAGTGTGTGAGCCCGAGGAATTAACTTTTACTTCCCTAAGTTTCTGGGAGTCACGATTTTCTAACTTGCAGATTTGTGCTGCCAAGTGGCGAAGTGTCACTGTGATGAGCTTAACGCTGTGCCAGGTTCACAAGAGGCACTTACATATACCTTGTCATCAGCGACAGCAATAGCCGCGGCCTCACCATTGTCATCGATCAGAAGTAACAATACTGCAGTATTAGTAAAACTGCCTGATTCACCTCCATTCAATGGAACAACTATAATAACCTAAGGGTAAAACATTTTTGAACTCTCGAAAACAAATTTAATATTCCCATTGAATTTCATTTTGAAATTGAGGAGAAAATGTTTCCAAATATAATATATTTCTTAAACTTCTGGCAAAGTTATATAAAGTGAGAGAGGTGCCTCTGAATCTCTTCATCTTTACCCTGTCCCTTCATAGAACCATCCATTCTAGGAATTCACTTTTCATTTGCAAAGCTTAAAAAAACTTGGCAGCGTTGTTGTTTTGCTCTGGCTATAATGGAGTGACTGCTTCTGGGGTTGATCTCCCACGGCGAAGCCCTAGAAGTCAGGACAAAAAATGTGAAGCAGCTGTTTCCAGGCATGGGACAATGGGAAGCACAGAACTGTGATAAAGGTGAGAACAGAAGTAAACGAGGTAAGGCCTACAATCCCAACAGCTTCCTCTGCCGAAAGGCACTTTCTTCCAGATCTCAGTGCTGGTAGAAGAACCTTAACCAAGCAAAGTCATTGGGTTGAGAAGACAGAGATCAGAGTTTGAGAAGGCTGGGGCAGCTGGAAATGTGTGAGGGAGAGTACTGGAAAGGAGGGAGCTGTGCAGAAAAAGACCCTCAGATGTGGGCACAGAGGTCCCCTTGAGTCTATTGCTTACTAGTAAGCTCCGGATGCACAGGGAGAAAATGAATGAGGCTGGGAAAATAACTGCAGGGGCGTTATAGGCTAAATAAGATCTAAAGCTTCTGCAGGCCTGGGACATGTTAGAGTTCCACCCAGCCAGGGTGGAACAAGCGCACAGAGCAGTAGTGGAGACCATGGAAGAGTCCCACTTTAGTGATAGGCATGAACAAGCCCTAGAGTGAAGGTTATTAAAGACTCACCTTAATATGCTTGCCAACAAGCCTTGGAAGAAATAAATGGATCTGCAAGTATTTTACTAACTTTCTATACATTCTTTATTGCCTTTAATATTCTTTGAATGAAGAAAGAAAACCTAGACACAAAATCTAGCAGCTTAACCCAAACCCTAACCCTAACCCATCCTCATGCTCAGAGGGTGTTGAACCCCAACTCCACAGGGACAGAAGCCCCTGCACTTGGGTCCCTCCTTAACTTCACCCTCTGTAACTCTTCATCAGCTGTTTGTGTGTAGCCTTTATCACAGCCTTTATAATACACTGATAAGTGTGGGTTTTTTATTTTTTATTTTATTTAGTTCTGTGCCATTCCAGCGAATCATTGAACCAAAGGAGGGGTTATGGAAACTCCAATTTAGAGCCAGTTGGTCAGAAATACAGATGACAAATCTATAAGGATACACAAGATTTGAGCAAATACTGCTAATACATTTGATCTAATTGATAAGAATATGTAGAACAACATGCCCCTCCCCCCCGAACTAGAGAATATACATTTTTCTTATCTACAGCCCATGGCACATTTACTAAATTGGTGCTATGGCAAGCCATATAGTGAGTATCAACAAAATTCAAAGGACTGAAATCAAACCTAGTATGTACTCTGACAGCAGAGAGATTAAGCTAGAAATTAATAATAAAAAATCACACTAGGAAATTTCAAAATGAGATTGCCAGATGGGATAGCACAGGTGAACCAATACTTTTCTGACAACCTATCGGTCAAAGAAGAACTAAAAATAAATTTAAAGTGATGATTAAAAACAGCAAAGCAAAATGATGAAGATGCAGCTAACATGGTGACTAGGGGGAAATATAGAGCTTTAGTTATACAGATTATGCAAAAGAAAAGCTGAGAATAAATGCTCTAAATTCTATTTCAAGAAGCTAGAAAAAGAACCACTAGTTGAACATAAAGAAACTAAAATGAAGAAAATAATCAAGAGATTATGAAAGCCAATAGAGACAAAGCAGAAATAAAATAGAAAATGAACAAAGCAAAAATTTGTTTCTTTAAAAAGACAAAGTTGATAACCTGCTATAAAAAATGACTAAGACTTCTGGTCAAAATGGAGGCACAGGTAGACAGGCTTCCCCTCCTTACACAACCACAGAGAGAATTACAACTAAACATAAAAACAAATAACACCAGAACTGTCAGAAAATCGAACTGTATGGGAGTCTAACAACCAAGCATTTAAAGAAGCCATATTCACCTACCCAGCAAAGCTATCATTTAGAATGGAAGAGCAGATAAAGTGTTTCCCAGACAAGGTAAAGCTAAAGGAGTTCATCACCACCAAGCCATTATTACAGGAAATGGTAAAGGAACTTATTTAAGAAAAAGAAGATAAAAACTATGAACATTAAAATGGCAACAAATTCACAACTATCAATAACTGAATCTAAAAAAAACCCCAACAAACTAAGCAAACAACCAGAACAGGAACAGAATTATAGATATGGAGATCATTTGGAGGGTTATCAGCTGGGAGAGGGAAGGGGGAGAATGGGGGAAAAGGTAGAGGGATTAAGAAGCATAATTGGTAACTACAAAATAGGGGGATGTTAAGAATAGTAGAGGAAATGGAGAAGCCAAAGAACTTATATGGATGACTCATGGACATGAAATGAGGGAGGGATGGTTGGAGGGAAGGGGGTACCAGGTAGAGGGGGAAAAATTGGGGAACTGTAATACCACAATTAATAAAATATATTTAAAAAAATAATGATAGAAAAAGAGAGAGAACACAAATTAGCAATATTGGAATGGGAAGCTATTATATAAACTATTTTATGACAATAAATTTGAAAATTTAGATAAAAAGATACATTTATTAAAAATTATCAAAACTGACATAAGAAGAAAGACAATTTGAATAATTACATCTATTAAAGAAACTGAATTCAAAATTAGAAAACACCCTACCAAAAAATTCTAGGCTAGATGACTTGATTTGTGTTCCAATGTTAAAAAATATACACACACACAAAAACTCTTCCAGAGAATAAAGAAACATGGAACACTTCCCAACTTGTGTTGTGAAACTAGCATAAATTTGATAATGAGCTAGACAAAGATATGCAAGAAGGAAAAATTTCCGACCAATATCTCTCATGAGCATACCTGCAAGACTACTAAAAGCAATTAGCAAACCTGATACTGTGGTATATAAAAAGGTTTTACATTATGGCCAAGTGGGGACTACCCCAAGAACTCAGTAATGATTTAACATTTCCAAATCTATATAAAAATGCAATCAATGTAATTTAGCACATTATTAATTGAAGTAAAAAATATGATGATTACAACAGGTAGAAAAAGCACTTGATTCAATTTATAATTTCTCATAATTAAAGTTCTTAGTAAGCTAGGTTAAAGTGAAAT